ATTTTTTTTTGCAGGTTTTTGATTTGCAAATTCTCAACAAACTACATATTAATTCGGGTCAAAATTTTTTTATTTAATAGCTACATATATAAATTTTATTTATATAATTTAGTACTGTGTAGGGTACCCATTAGCAGCAATTACAGAAAGAACATGTCAACGCATACTTTCAACAGGATTTTTTAAAATTGAACTATCAATTTTAAACCACTCTTCCTGGAGCAAATTGAAGAGTTCTGACTCATTGCTTGGTAGAGGAATATGCTTACGTATACGACGCTCCAATTCATCCCATAAATGTTCAATGAGGTTAAGGTCCGGGCTATATGAGGGCTACGGAAATTGTCGAATACCATTTTCGTTAAACCAACATTCAGTAAATTTGGAAGTGTGAATTTTAGCATTATCGTTTTGGAACACATAATTTTTTTGACCAACTATGTTTATTAAATTGTTTAAATAGGATACATAGCAAATTTCAAGAATTTCTACATACTCTTTCGAATCCATCCTGCCATAAACCCGGACCAAAGGCCCAAGACTATATATGCTAAAACACCCCAAACCATTACACCTAACCTTCCCGACCTAAATGTTGGAACCAAACATTCAACATCATATTTTTCTTTTGGTTTCCTCCAAGCATACTTACGACCATCCTCTCCAAACACCTCAAACCTAGATTCGTCACTCCAAATAATATTTTTCCACCTTTCATCCCAACCTATTTTCGCCCTTACCCAATCCAAACGAGCCACACGAGAGTCCTCATCTACAAATGGTTTTCTTAAACCAACTCGACCATAAAATCCTTCATTATGAAGCGCCATTGTATGGTTCGTGTGGATACTTCTACGGAGGTTGCTTCAATGAATTTGTTTATCAAAACATTAAGTGTGACCTTTTTGTCCTTTTTTAAAATACGAGTTAGGTGCCAAACACCACGTTTAGTTACTTTAGGAGGTTGTCCAGGATGAGGAAAAGGTACAGTTTCCCCAGTCTTTTTGTAGTATGTAATAACATCATTGACAGTGCTTTTTGCAAATTTTAGAGTCTTTGAAATTCTTATTTGCTTCACACCATTTTTCCAAGCACCAATAATTTGGTTGCATTGTTTACAGGTAAGCTGTTTCCTTTGTTTCATACAGTGCGGGACATCTTAAACCAGCAAGTAAAAAAGCAATTTTTAAAAATTCATTATAAAAATGAAAAATTAAGATATTCGAAAATTTTTTTTGTAAAAATGTAAAGGAAGATAAAACAAACAAAGTTACAAAACCCATTTATTGATTTGTTGAAATTTGGTGGTGTTAAATACTTTTAAAGGGTGACCATTTTTATTAATTGTTAATAGTAAAAATGCAAAAATTTGGCCGGCCCACCAAAATCATGTGATCCGAGATGTATGATCGTGATTGGTCAAAAAAAAACTATTAAATGTCGGATTTTCGATAATCTACTTTTTTTTTTAGAAGTATTGCCTTTGGCAAGCGACCTGGTCGCAAAGATAGTTCCTATTACTGTTTGTTAATTATAAACCAAATTATAACACCGCCGTATATCACCAAAAACTATGCCGCAATTATCCAAAAGAAAGTTACAATTAAAGAAAAGTCGAGAAATAAGGAAAGCCAAACGTCAGCGCAATGCAAATAACGAAACAAATAACGAAACAAATAACGAAACAAATAATGAAGTGAATAACGAAGTGAATAATGAAGCAAATAACAAAGCAAATAACAAAGCAAATAACGAAGCAAATAACGCCTTTAAAAGGTTATTGCAGGCAGTTCCTGAAGTAAGTACTTATCGACCACTTGTGTATGTTGGGAATTCGAAAAGATCAAGAAGGCGCCGGAGGCAAATACAACGGGAGGCAGCAGTCAGAACATCTAAATTAGAATCATTTTGGTCACAAGTAAGTTTTTTTTTTTTTTTTTTGTTTAATTAATAAATTATAGATTTGGGCTTATCTTTGGGATTCTGATAGGTAACCACAGATGTTAGTTCTTCCAGTTCGGATAATAATTCTGAAACTGAATCTGAATCTACCTCAGAAATTGAGGACAATGTAAATTTATATAATCTTGCTATTGAACAACTGGAAAACGAAGTTAAAAGTAACAGTCACAATGAGATTGAAAGTGCCCACCTTAATGCAATGTTATCTTATCTTCGCCTTGTAAAATGTGGTGAGGGAAAAACTAAGGCTAGTGTTACTGTGGCTAAAGCCACCGGAAAAAACATTTATCGTGCTCGTTCTATACGAGCTTGGACATCAAACTACCTTCAAAATGGCACTTTGCCAGTATCGAGACAAGGAAAACATCCGAAAACGTGGAGTTTTTTGTGGGATGATGATGTTTTATTACAGATCAAATCTTTTCTTCGATTAAACAAATGGTGTGTCTCTTCTAAAGATTTGACAAATTATGTAAATGATGAGGTGCTTCCCAAACTTTGATTTGATCCATCACCAAAAATAAGTATAAGAACAGCCCGCAGATGGATGAATGAGTTTGGGTTTGAATATTCAGAAGTTAAAAAAGGCATGTACATGGATGGCCACGAGCGAGCAGACGTTTTAGCTTACCGAGAACTTTTTTTAGAAAGGATGGTGAACTATGAAAAAAAAATGATTATTTTTTCAGGTGAAAATATGGAAATAGAAACCTTGCCAGATGTTGATCAAGTTATAATTCTGGTGACACATGATGAATGTATTTTTTCTGCATATGATGGAAGACGCCGATTATGGAAACCGAAGGGAGAACAACCACTTCGTAAAAAAGGACAAGGACGGTCCATTCATGTGAGCGATTTTCTTACTGATGTTGCTGGGCGGTTGGTACTGCGTGAAGAAGACGAGGTATAAAAGTTTTGTTTACTTTGACTTACCTTTTTTGCAGTGAGACAATTCTAATTAAAGTTTTTTAGTTTTTTTTCCCTAATATTTCAACGGAAGCATGCGTTATAACATACCCGGGGAAAAATGGTGATGGGTGGTGGAATTCTGATGACTTAGTAAACCAAGTGGTAGAGCGCGCAATCCCAATATTTGAGGCACGTTTTCCAGATGCGAAGGCCCTTTTTGCATTCGATAATGCAACCAGCCATGCTGCATATGCAGACAACGCTCTTGTAGCAAATAATATGAATTTGTCACCCGGTGGAAAACAAGCAAAAATGAGGTTTGTTTAGAAATGTATCTCACGCAGAGTAAATCTCGCATATATATTCACACACCTCATGCAATTTGCATGAGGTTTATGAATATATGCTAGATTACCTCGCGTGAGGTATATTTTTATGTTTATTTATGTTAAATTCATTAAATTTTTTACTATATTTATGTTTTGTGTACAAATATGCAGAAGCACCATGTATGGAAATAACATTAGACAAGATATGTGCTTCCCTATGGATTACAAGATCCCTGAATTGCGCGGAGAACCAAAAGGTTTACAAGAAATTTTAAAGGAAAGAAAATTGTGGCGTGATGGAATGAAGTTGAAGTGTAAAGGTGGATGTGAAGAAGGAAGCATTAATTGTTGTGCAAGAACAGCAATGGCAAACCAACCGGATTTTAAAGCACAGCGCGGAAAACTTGAAGAAGCAATTATTTTGGCAAACCATGAAGTTATATTTTATCCAAAATTTCATTGTGAGTTAAATTACATTGAAAATTTTTGGGGATCAGCAAAACGATATTCACGAAGCTATTGTGACTATACTTGGGAGGGTTTAAAAAAAACAGTACCACAAGCTCTAGCATCAGTACCACTTAGTGAAATTAGAAGGTATGCACGAAAATCTTTTAGATATATGGATGCGTATCGTAAAGGATTAACTGGTGAAGCTGCTGAATATGCAGTTAAAAAATATCGATCGCATCGCCGTATTCCGGATTCAATCTTATTTGATATAAATATAATAGTAAATTGAAATTTATATTTGATAATGAAATAAAGTTGCTTAGTACAATAAATTTGATTGTTAAATATGTGTAATTATTTATTTTAAGAGATTAATTAATATATAGGGTTCCAAAAATACTTTTATAAATAAATTAAATTAGTTAGATTGGGTTTAAATAAGGGTTTAAATAAATTTTTATAAATAAATTTTTTTATTATTTTTAATTTTTTTTTTTTTTTTAATTTTTTTTTTTTTTTAATCATCGGGTTTGTCGAATTTGATTGGTCAATTATCACATGATTCGCCTCTATCCTAGATGACCCCAATTTGGCCACCCAAATTTAGACTTGCCGGTTTAAGGTGTCCTGCACTATAGTAAAAAAAAAAAAAAAAAATCAAGAAAAAAAAAAAAAAAAATAGACACACTAGTAGGTTTGAATAAAACCGTAAAAAAATTTTTTTTTGGGCCAGTATAGTAATTTT